GAAAAATAGTGCGTGTATCTTAGACGAGTCAAGCGTTGGTTCAGTGTCGTAATCGCTTAAGCATTTTTCATTCGGAATTTCCCACATGGCGCACCGCTCCACAACTGATTCTCTTGGGGTGATCCTCTACCAACACAGGCTGCATGGGATTCGGAACCTATCCTCCTCCTGTGCCGGCCCGAAAATCACACGACCGATCGGGTTCATTTATCGATCGGTCGATCGAATGGTTCAGCCGCAACAAGGGACCTGGTGCTTGCCCAGCTAACCCGAGCGAGAAACCACACCTTTTTTTACAGTCGTGAGTCTCAGGCAGGCCCAGTGAACTTCTACTGTGTAGCAGGAGTGCCGTCAGTACTCGGATGGACTGAACGTAACAACAAGAGCACTACAAAACGTACAAATTGGTAATCAGACAGTCTCGTGTTGGGATGGGAGATTTTAAACTCCGCAGATCGCGGAATATGATCCAATCAGATCGCATTAGAGGTAAAAGAGGGAATTTGCTTGCTTAAGGTCACGGGTGAGAGGGACGAAACGACTGAAAACGATGAAGCAGTCGCACTGCACATGAAGTTCTGCCGGACAAGTCAATCCGAGACATCAGACACCTTGGTCGAATTGTGATGCAAAATTCATTCAGCCCAATTGAGTGACGTCTCAATGAGGCTTATCCAACAAGCCTTACCAAGGGGAAAACAACTCTGGCCTCGGTCATGCGTACGTTGGTGTTAGCACTAAAGTAGGCACTTAGGTCTTGACTGTCTGTTGGTTCCAAAGAATATGGTGTGTGTGATTCTGAATTAAGGAACAACGCCAATTGTTTTGAAACGTTCCGGTAGGGAACAGTACATTCAATCTGCTGCTATGTCGCACCCCTGAGAAGTCGCATTTTCCAATATCTTCGCACTTTTTCGAAAACCCAAACCAACCGTTTGCGTAATAATGTAGTTTCCGACTGTCCCATGTCGCCACACTCAATACGTCGCAGTTCCTATTATCTACTCGTTTGTCGTTAACCGATTTTCGGGACGACTAGTGACCATCCCCCATGAAATGTGTAGGTGTGTGGAGTGAGACGTCACATCCGAGCGATCGATAACCACCGTCGCGCAGATGCACCTGTGTGAATCAGTGAACGATACTCTCACTTGCCCTAAGGCACCAATGAAATTAGAGAGGTCACTTGCCAAAGGTCATTATAACACGGGACTAAGGTCAGTTTGTGAGATATACTTCTAGCTTATGAATCACGTTATGGCATCACTTTTTAAACATAGTCCGACCAACAACGGTCATGACAAATGCATCAATCAGTTTGAACATACACTGGTAACAACAAAAGCGAACGAACGAATATATGTCTACAGACGCTGATGGCACCATTTTTCACCAGAAAATCATGAATAGATTTCACAGCGAATAATCAATTTGAATATGGGAAAGAAGTCAATGTTCTGAATATAACCCGTACCAGATATTTCACCCATTTTAGATGTTAATTCCTTCTCACTGTATTCGAACCGGTTCACATTTGGGTCAGAAAAAATTCCCCAGGAAAAAATGAAGGTTAGTTTCGGGATAACTAAACACTTAGAATTGGAAAAAGGGCTGAATACCGCATGCAATGTACCAATATTAAGTTTAGGGTATTATAAGAGATTTTAATTTCTTCGATACCTATAGGATACACAACGTACCGTGAGAAGGAACAAATGTGTTTGAATTGTATATCGGTCGAGTACAACGGCAGTCTCCTGATTTTCTTTATCATCTACCCGGACTGATTCGCTTGATGGGCCGGTTGCCGGAACACGATCGGCTTTGAATTCAATCGCATCTAGCCACGACCGAACAGAGCCCATCTGACGATCCAGTTTGGACCAAGGTGCTTGAATGCGTTCCAGCACAGAAGTGACAGTCTGAGCAATTAGTCCGGACATGTGGGAGTGAGGTGGGAGGTGGAGAGATAAACGGAAAGATAAAAACCTCACACACACACAAATGAGTACTGATCACTGAACAGCTCGGTGACGCACCGAGTACTTATGCACCCTTTAAAATACATGACAATTCCATATCAAGCCATTAGAACAAGCTGATTCGACACTAGAACAAAAGCAGCTTTTTCTCAGAGACGTTCACTATCGAACTGTGTCTGAATTATGATGAGTAAGAAAGGAATCGGAAGGGTGGTATTCAGGTTGAAAAATCTTGATTACCAAATAGGCCATGAGTGAGGAACGAAAAGAGAGGATTCCTTAGTGTCCCATACTTTAAGAAAAGAGAACGTATAAAGCGGTCGAGTGGGGGCAAGAGCTAAGCGAGGCGCAGGAGGAGGCCAGTTGAAAAGAAAAAGATAACCGTGGCGTTGATTAAAAGCTGGAAACTGCTGTTTCAACCTTATACGGGATCATTAACAATGAGAATCCGCGAAATTAGGACCTTACAACCAACGGGGATCACACCGAACTGGTTCATTTTAACTGAACATGATAGAATTCCCCCTCCGCCATTCTTATAAGCTTATTGTGAGTGACCAGTTGTATCCACATAACTCACCCGAAAACTTTTCTTCTCAGACTACTACTACTACTACTACTACTACTACTACTACTACTACTACTACTACTACTACTA